CCCCAAAACCCCAAAACCCCAAAACCCCAGAAAACAAAAAGAATGAATTAATAATATTATTATTCAAAGATTAACGTTTTGAAGTTTGATATTTAGATTTTTTTGGATTGGTGTAGGGGACATATTATTTTTGGATGATGATACACTATCCTGAAAAAGCTCCACTATAAATTTATCTCTATTTAGTTCCTAAGGCGTTTTCAATAATAAATCAGTGTAATTCCTTATCTATTAGCTTTTGTTTAGAGACCGTTTCATTGAGCTTTTTTTGAAACTTGATAAGCGAGGTGATTAATTATGTAATTTATGTATGCTACTCTTATTATTGACTAGTATGCTATCATTGTTCTTAACGATTATTGGTTTGGATGGCGACACATCTATATTTAGTATCTTATCAATATCTCCAAAATCAATTTCATAATCATCTGTAATTCTGATAGAGTCAAGAATTAGTTATTCATAGTTATTTCTAAATATATGTAGTAATTTATGTCCTTATAATTTGCTTAAATCTTTTAGGAACAATCTATATTTATATCCCCCAAGTAAGTGCTTAACAATAATGAAAAAATTCCTATATTACTATCACTTATTACAAAATTATAATACATCTATGTTTTTGATAGTTCAAATAGATAATGTTAACCTAATAAATTCTCCATTCTACTGTAGAGCAATTCTCTATTCTATTCAATGCCAAGTGCCTAATGTTGAATAAGGTTTTATTTTGGGGTTATAATGACTTTCTTAGTATTTTCAAAAATACTAGGTAGAGGTTTAAATTTAGAACTTTTTAATGGAAGTACAACCCTACTTGGATCTCTTGACAAACTGCGATCAGAGTATCTATCTCTGGACTTAATTATCAAAATAAGAATGAATACTTACTTTTTGGTTTAAACTAATTTCTCTCTAAGTAAGTTTATTTTTTTCGATAGATGAAGATTGATTTAAGGATTTATTGCTTTTTTAAGTAAACAAGGGAGCCAAATTTTAGCTTCTTTTTATAATTGACCTTGATTTCTGCCATTCTCTAATATCTTTAGACGACTTTTAGGATCTTAATTTTTATAGTATTCTGAGATTTTGCATATGTATTTCATGCTAATGTCTTTTATACCTGTAGGATTCAGCTTTAGGAGTTCATCTAAGTAGCGATGATGATGAGCTAGATATTGAAGATTTGCTCAAAGTTCTTTGTTTGAAATGTTATCCCTTATCAACATTGATTGCTTTACTATTCTAAAATATGGAAGCATTATTCCGATTCTTTTATCCAATCTATTCCAGAGATCTTTATTAACTCCTTTATTGCATAATCTTAAGCATCTTTTCATAAACTTATCAGTTATCAGATATGCTTTTATTCTCTTATAAGTCTAAAATGTAATTTAACTCAATTTTTAAAAAAATTACAATTTTTGGTTAGTTCTAGTTTTGTTTTATTTCTTTGATGTCTTATTGATTTCTGAGTAAATGGGTTTAATCCACTATTATATCTTTCTAGTTCAGATCTTGCATTAATAACTCAATTAAAATGGTTACTCTAGTCTCTATCATGTAATTTTCGTTATAATAAATTTTATGATGATAATCTGTAGTTTATCATTTTGTTTTTCAGTTAATTATTACATTTTCAATTTATTATTAAAAAAATAATTATAATAAAATAATGAAATTGTCTGTTTCAGGCTACCAGCCGACATTTAATGCTCTTAATTCCGAGATAAATTAGATAGTATAATAATCTTAGCCCTTTATCATTGTAATATAGGAGCATGAACTTCATTAAAGAAGATTAGATGGAATCAGACCGAGAATTGACTAGAAAAGACCTCTCACTCCAAGTTGCTTGCTTAATAAATAAAAATAGAAATTCATAAGGGCGGAGGAGTAATATGAAATTTTTAGGAAAAATCAAATCTTAATGCAGAAAACCTACAAAATTATCTAGAATTCTAGTAAGTTTACAATTGACTTCCCCATCTTTAATAATATATTAACAGACTAGTTACATCCTAAGTAATTGCTACAAAAAAAGCCTCCAACTATTGGTTCTTTGAATACTAAAGTGAGAGTAGACGATTTGAAGAAAATTTGGCAAGAAAATAACAGATTTCTCTCTAAGCTATAGACAATTAAAACAAACTACCCAATAAATCATTTGAAGCAAAATGCTAGGAATAACGAGAAGATGAAAACAAATATTCAATATAACAGCAGTAAGTTATTAATAACGAGAGTCAATTGTATTTTTACATAGATCGATTTGAGAGAAATAATTTTTTCTTGAAACTTGATAAAAAAGGGAGTGTCTTAGGACAAAGTAATCAAAGAGTATTTGAAATAAGTTCTCCAATAACTAAAAACAAAGTAAAATTTAAGTTATTCAACTTATCAATAGAGACCATTATCAAGTATGTCAAAAACATCAAATACAGGCAGAAATCTGATACGTTCTTAATCTAATCAAGCTTTCAATACTTAAGAGGATAGCAGACTTAAGCACATGGACTTAAATGAATTTGCTGAAAATAGAAGCTAACAGTAGTTCAAAGATTTATTTCCATCTCATTCAAGAAAAATTAGTGCTCTCCATGATGATAATAACCAAAGTTAAAAACATCAAAGAAGTGAAAGCCATAATATTTATCCAGTAGTCTTCAAAGACATTGGAGTCAATTAAAATTGAAATAACTAATATTTATTAGATGATAAAATGTATTTCTGAAAATCATTTGTTTTTACTATAATCTTCAATAAATTCATTGAGGGGTTTTGGGGTTTTGGGGTTTTGGGG